ACAGCAAGGTTACAAGTTAAACATTATTGTGTGAAGTTATCACTAACACGGGTTACAATTAAACATTATTAGGTGAATTATCGTAACACGGGTTACAATTAAACATTATTGTGTGAATTATCGTAACACGGGTTACAATTAAACATTATTGTGGGAATTATCATAACACGGGTTACAATTAAACATTATTAGGTGAATTATCATAACACGGGTTACAATTAAACATTATTAGGTGAATGATCATAACACGGGTTACAATTAAACATTATTGTGTGAATTATCATAACATTGGTTACAATTAAACATTATTAGGTGAATTATCATAACACGGGTTGCAATTAAACATTATTAGGTGAATTATCGTAACACTCGGGTTTATAATTAACCATAATTATGTGAATTATCATAACCGAGGCCACAATTAACATTATTAGGTGAATTATCGTAACACGGGATACATTTAAACCTGATTAGGTGAATTATAATCCTCTGGTTACATTTAAACATTATTAAGTGAATTCATATAGCATTTGTTTCACAGTTAAGCCTTTTATAAGCATCAGGATGAAATACATTAACTTGGTGAATTAAAATAAGATAAATAATAATAATACTTTTCCTGACACTTCAATTTTAAAAGATTTATCTAACAGTATATTACGAGTTATTTCTGGTTGATTTGAACAGGAACTTGGTTTGTTTTGAATTTCGCGCAAAGATACACGAGGGCTATTTGCGCTAGCCGTCCCTAATTTAGCATCACCACCCACTTGGGATACTCCTTTACCAAAGAATAGTGGAATTGATCGTCACATTATATCGCCCTCTCGGCTGAAAGGGTGAGCATGTTTGGTGGGACGGGGATTCGAACCCACGACCCGCAGATTGCGAGTCGAGCGCTCTAACCACCTGGCCATGCCGGGCCCAAACAGGAACTTAATCTTAACCTTCAAAACTGGCCAGAAAAGTAAACAATAAACTCTATTTGAAAGTTCTATACACGAGTGTTAAACTTTATCCTTCGAAGATGATCAGTAAAATATACAAACTAATTATTTAGAAGCTCGTTATGGACTTATGCAACCTTAACGTTCGAAATTCGCGACTGAAACGACACCAGATCACAAACATTGACGCAGGTTCTACAGCTCGTTTTCGCCTATGAAAAGTCAGTCCTGTGATTTTTGACATTTTCCTGATCGTATAAAATCTATAATAGACATGGTTATCTTCTAATACGAACGCTGGGTCTCGTTAGAAGTGTGGTGGGAATAATTGTTTTATGGTTACCAGTATTCTGTTGAGTAACTATGGTTACCAGTATTCTGTTGAGTAACTATTGGTTACCAGTATTCTGTTGAGTAACTATGGTTACCAGTATCCTGTTGAGTAACTATGGTTACCAGTATTCTGTTGAGTAACTATGGTTACCAGTATCCTGTTGAGTAACTATGGTTACCAGTATTCTGTTGAGTAACTATGGTTACCAGTATTCTGTTGAGTAACTATGGTTACCAGTATCCTGTTGAGTAACTATGGTTACCAGTATTCTGTTGAGTAACTATGGTTACCAGTATTCTGTTGAGTAACTAAACTGCAAGAAAAGAAAAGAAAAGAAAAAATACACCATCTTTCATATTTAGCAAATATTAATTATTGATTCGAATACGACGGTTAGATCTAGTATTACGGTATTATTAATTATAACGTATACTGAGATATCCAGTGCCAACGAGGCCTTTCGCCGAGTACCAGGGCTCTTCGGGCCGATTGGAATACACATGTAACAGCAGTAGAGACGTTATTTTATTTGTTTAAATAATAGCAAGTTACTTGACAACAACAGTTACAGTATAAAGTTGGCGAAGTGTACATTTAACATCAAATTTCTTTGCGTTACAATGTATCAGAATTAAGGTAAGTACTTTCTAACACAACATTATTATTTTTTAATGCCGTATATTACTAATTATTATCTAGTTGTTAATTAATCTGCTCGTTATTTAGATTAATTGGCGAACTGGTCTTTTTTTGTTCGTTATAAACCATATGTTTGGGGCCTGGTGGTCGGGGGGCGCTCGACTTACAATCTCAGAGTCGAATCCCCGCCACCGAACATGCTCGCCCTTTCAGCCGTGGAGGCGTTATAATGTAATGGTCAATACCACTATTTTTTGGTAAAAGGGTAGCCCAAGATTTGACGGTGGGTGGTGTTGACTGGCCGCCTTCCCTCTATTCTATCACTGCTAAATTAGGGACGGCTAGCTTTGTGCGAAATTCAAAACAAAACGAAACCGTATGTTTGTTTTAGCGCAAAGCTACACGAGGGCTATCTGCACCGTTACACTTGTGTGCTGACGGATATACAGAGTACAATATCTGACGGATATATAGAGTATAATAACTGACGGATATACAGAGTATAATATCTGACGGATGTACAGAGTATAATATCTGACGGATATACAGAGTATAATATCTGACGGATATGCAGAGTATAATAACTGACGGATATACAGAGTATAATATCTGACGGATATACAGAGTATAATATCTGACGGATATGCAGAGTATAATAACTGACGGATATACAGAGTATAATATCTGACGGATATACAGAGTATAATATCTGACGGATATGCAGAGTATAATAACTGACGGATATACAGAGTGTAATTGTCATGGTATAAAAGACTGTTTGGTTTAGTAGTTAATTTACATTTGTGAGTGAATATTTTATTATTTTTAAGCTTTGTTATAATAAGAGTTAAAAGCAGACGATTGTAGAAGGTTTTAATTGATAACTAATTGGTGTCGAGAATATAGATAGTGGCCAGACGACTATGTAATAAAGATATAAATAGCGAGAGACGAGCGGGGAGCAGCAGAGAGACAGATAAAAGCAAAGATAATATAGTTGGTGTGGAGTTAAGTAACGTAAAAGTGATAGGCCTAACGACTGACATAGGCCTAACATTTGATATATATATTAGAGTGAAACTAACAGTGAAAAATGAAATAAGAAAACATAAGTTTATTTCGTCAAAGCGAAATTCTAAAGTAATTGAATCAGCCTGAGTGCACTTTGACAAAAGAAGAAAGAAGACCACAATCGTAAGTGAATCACACCAGACTAATATTGCGATAGTATTAGAGAAAATAGTTCGGCTTATCAACTGAGATTCTAAAGTAACTGAAGAGGCCTAAGTGGACTTTTGACAAGAATAGGATAACTATACATATACTGATATAACGTTTACGATATGCTTATATTCTCTATAGTGTGAACACTTTATTGTACATATGTTTAACTTGTTCCAAATATATATATATATTTGAAAACAAGTAAAGTGTGTGCTGTTTATTCATCATTGAATTTATCGCTAACAAGTCACAGACACCTACTGTAGAAGAATCCTAAGTCCAACAACAACATAGTTTATATTTATACTATTAAGAAATACGAGTAAAAGCCGTTTATTTCGAAAATTGGCAAAAAAACAAACAAAAAACAGAACCTATGTACATATATAATGTTATTTTTTTAAATCTGACAACTGTATACACATACAAGACTCTTAAACAATGAATAATTTCTTACTTGAGATTCATCGTAATTGTTGGAGTTTCTTTTAGATAGTTTCTGGTGCTTAGTATCGTGAAGTAAGGTTTTGCAGTGTGTCAAAAATTCTTAAAATGTTTATTAAATTGAACAAGGCACGTTTTCTATCTGAACGAATGTTTCCTTCCTAATTTAGCATTATCGTCTATCTTCTATCCATTTAACCTCTTAACTTTCTACGACGTGTACAAAAACAAGATTGAAAATTACATTTCAAAACTAGACATCACTAGTGGTCACAATACAGAAGAATAACAGTAAACTAAGAGGCAATTAATTATAATTTTCTGTTGCTCTCTCTCTCTATCTAAGTCTATTTTTTCCTGAAAAACATTTATAAATTTATTTTGACTAATACATTAGCTACCCCCCACCCAGTGGCACAGCGGGAAGTCTGAAGGCTTAGAACACTAAAAACCGGGTGGTTTCGACACCCTTAGGGGACACAACACACACAGCCCATTGTATAGCTTGGTGCTTAAGTACAAAACAGATTTCATTAGCAACATTTTTGAAATAAAATTAATTTGAAATTTCGGCGTTTCAATAGATTTTAAACCAGCGTTTATAGCCTTTAGCTCATGAGCGCTCGCGCGCACGCACACACACACACACACACACACAGATTCTCTTTAGTTTGACGAAGGTCTGTGATTATAATTTGTACCATAACGCTATCTCTGTTTTCAAAAACTATAATTAAATTCAGGGCGACCAACTGCCCAAACTCTTTTTCATCTGCCCTGCAGACGATTTTAAAACCGGAAATATTTCGACCATTTATATTTACAGGTGTATCTTACGTGTAAACTTCAGAAAAATCCTTTATACGCGCCTCAAACTTAACACTTGATCTGGATGAAGTTTACTTTTTGCTCATCTCAGGCACGATGAGTTGATCATAGTTTGAGATTCAGTGACGTAACTAGTTGATTGTTCAGCATAGGTTGTAGATTACGAATTAGGAATGCTTCATTTTTTCTTAGCATCTATTTATCTTTCGCTGAGTCTATTATTCTGAAGTGTTCACTGTTTGGTTTTTCGTCACAGTCTTAACTCAGGTGATTGTAAATTCCAGAGTTATTGAAAGGGCTGTTATGCGCATGCTCCTTGATTCTGGTAGCTAAGGTTCGAGTCGTTGAACCAATATAGCGATTTCTTAAGGGGATATTTGTCATTAAACAGGAAAAAATTGGTTATCCGTTTTATTCGGTTTGAATATTACTCTTATGCTGACTTGGGGTTAAGTTGATTGCAGAATGCTTTTGATTTTACTTTTTAGTTTGATGCCGTGGGAACCAACTAGCTATGTCACTGCATCTCAAAATACCACCAACTCATCGTGCCTGAGATGGACAAAAGGTGAAAACTTCATCCAATTAACAAGTGTCAATATCTACTGAAAGGGGAAAAAAAAACTCTTACGTGGTTTAAGACACTTGAAGCATCAGCGCTTGTTCAAAACAATTTGTCAGTTGAGCCAGGAACAAATATTATAAAAGGTTGTTTACCCGGGTGTAATTTAATTTGATTAGATAATAATTTATTTGCGAATATTACAAAATCGAGTTAGTTTTCGTTATGAAATTCGAGCTAAACCTACATTTCAGGTTAATGTTGGGATTTATGCTGACCACGATGTTCCTTGCCATGTGGATCTGTAACACTGCTACTACCGCCATGATGATGCCAATTGTAGATGCTGTCCTTGTTGAGATTTGTGGAAATGGTGAGGAAACACCGTGTGTGCAAACAGTACAGGTTCCTCCAGGTAAAAAAACGGCACTTTTATATTATTATTGGAAAAGCTATTGTACTAAATAAATTGAATTTTCTAAATTAGTTTTTATTACAACGAATAAAATTTGGGAATAAGAACACCTTAACTCACTTAGCTAGTAGGTCAGCTTGCTGTGTTAAGAATGTAATTATTGTAAAAGTAGAAAAATAACTCTAATCCTATATGGGTTTCCTGGTTTCAACCAGTTATTAACTTTCATTCCGTTTATTTAAAGTTGCCAGAATTAAGTAGTTAAAAGGCCCTGTTAAAAAAGAGTAATAATTTACAATTATGTCTCCAAACGCTGAGATAATTAATTTTTGAAACAATAATTCGGTAATCAAAAAATTAGTATTTTTTTTAAATTATCTTAGAGGGAGGGAAAAGGACTCAGGGTTTGATACTGATGCAAATAAATTACATAACACGTGATGCACCTAGATAGTTCGTTCAGTTAACTTTATCAGGTACTCATAATTATAAAACATCAAGAGTAATTGGAATTCCCTCATTCTCTAAAGAAGACGTAACAATGGTATCGAAAGAGTAATTACTTCCACATCTTCCCGGAATAATAGTAATAACCTCTGAAAAGAGAGATCGGATTTTTTTTTTTTAGCGACATTTTATTTGAGAGATTGAGGCTGTGTATTCTTTCTCCATTATAATGAATAACGTATTTTGTAAGAGTATTGAGTTTGAATATTTCTCGTGGAATCCTGACCACCGTATAATAACTTCAAGTAATAGAAGTACTTTCACCCTCGTTTTGGAAATCTTGACAATTATATTTCCAATGGGAACTGTTAAATTATTGTTTGTGTGATTAATAGTTTATATTACATATTTGCTTTCAAATCTAAGCTAACTTCCATACAATATTTAAAAAATATAGTTAGTTGTTGTTTTTTATCATGGTTAGTGCCCTAGCTTGCTTATAAATGTTTTCCGAATGTACCGTAACATAAAACTTTTAAAAATGATTAATTTTTAAATATTTAAATCTACAATATTATCAATAATAAAACTTTAGGGTCATTTATACGTCTACAGAAACAAAAAATAACGTATTAAATGCAATTAAAGATGTATAAGATGAACACAAATCCCACTAATTTAAAATAGATTGAATTTAAAAAGTTAATGTACAGATTTTTTTTTATTAATCTGTTTTTGTCTCCTTTAAAATATTTTGAAAACGAGTTTTCCATGTTAATTTGTTTGCATATTTTACGGTTGGGTAAGCGGGTAAGTTTACGGACTTACAACGCTAAAATTCGGGGTTAGATTCCTCGCTTTGGCTTTGGTTGAAAACAAACAGCATACTTTACGTAACTTATCAGTACTGACGGTTTAATATGTTTGCCTAATGAACATTATTTGTGGATCAATAACTTTAATTTGATTTTCTGCTCTGTGTGTGTGTGTTGTAATTAAGCATTGCCAAAGGTTAAGAAATGGTATAACGCATGCAAATTACAACGCAAAAATCTGGGTTGATAGAGTGCAGATCGCCCATTATGTAGACTTGCACTAAGAAAACAACAAGAGTAATACGTTATTGTTGACTACGTGACAGAGGGTGTGCTAGCGACTAATAAAAAAAAAAATAATAATAAGGTAGTGTCTCCAAACAAGCAAGAGAGTGATCGAGTCAGACGCAATAATGCGAGTTACTGGAATCAGCGGCAACATTTTGTGCAATCGTTGAGTGCAGAAGTTTTGGCTTTTCTATAAACAATTACTATACAACTTTTAACTATCTTTACCATAGAAATAAATATTAAACTATATGTAAAAGTAAAATTTGCTTCCAAACTTGACAATTTCAAGGATTACTAAAAAATGCTCTGCTTGTAAACAGATTTCCCAGTCGTGGCGCTTGTATTTGCACAATTATTGAACAGCTTATTTTTAGCAAACGATTGTCAACAATCTTGTACGATCATACATATTTCGCACGCGAGATTGGTAGAAACGACCAAAATGAGAATTAACCGTTCCCTTTTCCTTTACATTTAGTTTTTAAATAGATAATATTATGATGTATATTCATCAGAAAATCTGGAAACATTTAATTAAACCCTTAGTGAAATAATAAAAAAATAAAATGTGAAAACACGACGAGAAAGTTAAATATCGTATAGTTTTTGTTCGCCAAGATATTCATTTTTGACAGATATGTGTGATGTGTACAGTAACCTGGTTTTGTTTTATTGTATTTAAATAAAATTATTACTTGTTTTTAGTTGTAGAAAACGAAAATAAAATTGGTGATATCGTAAAAGTGATCAAACACGGAGAAGAAGCCGACCAAGGAAAAGAACCCTCCTGCATCATGTAAGCTTTTTTTAACTTCCTTTCATCCAGTCAGGTGTAAAATGTTTTATCTTGTTAGGTATTGAACAAAGTAAAAATCCATGTAGCTTATATGCATTCAAACTTCCCATGCTTATAGGAAACATATTACGTACATGTACTCTGTTTTGTTATGCTTACCTTTTGCTATTTTATTAATTTATTCGTAGATCCACCACTATTTCGAGATAAGATACAGCGATAGAAAAATTTCTTTACAGTAATAAACGTTGTAAGTAAACGCTATGGAAGCACGCCTTGTGGGATTTTGAGAACTTATGTATTGGTACTTAATATGATAATTTCAAATATGAATATTTGTTTAATAATTTCCCTTTTCATAAATTTATCAACAATTTATAAAAGTTTTTCAAATAAGAGACTGTTTGGTTCTTTAACGCTACAGTGTTGTGTGCCGCCAAATCTTAACCTTCTTGACGTCACTATGTGCCGTTCTATTACTTCTCTTTCTAATTTTAAAAATAACAGGACAAAAGTGAATTAATTAGGCATATATTACTCCGTTAGAACATTGAAGGTTGTGTAATTTACGTCACACGCAGGATTATCATGGCCAACGAGATGAGATTTGAATGAAGATGGGATTTGGCGGCATATATATATATATTCGAAACAAGTTATAGATTTAGTTGATAAATAAGTCAAAAATATGTGCTTGAATAAATTCACAAACAACAATCAAATAAACACACATAAGTATATAAATACCAGGTCTAACCTTTCACTTTTTACTATCATAAACTTCCCATCCTCTCTCTTGTAAATATATATGATTTATAAATGCTTTTTTCCTCATTCATCAAGAGCCAAGTAAGACTTTTTGCCACTCCCAGTATGGCAGTGCATTAGTTTTGCGTAACCTAGAGCAATTCAACTTAATATTGCTTGTTTATTTGTAGTTAAGCGCAAAGCTACAGAATGGTCTATATGTATTGTGTCAACCACGGGTTTTGAGAACAGGTTTGTATTATTATAAGCCTTCAGAGTTATCGCTAAGCCACTAGAGAGCATTTAATATAGAAATCTAAGTCATAATTGTGCGCGTGTGGTGGTGTCTACAGGTTGTATAATGGGTGTCATATATACATACATACATATTCTTAATAATAGTTTATACTTCATTTATTATTTATTATAAGAACATATGGCTAAGATTTTGGAAATTAATAGCATTCAACAAATCTTAAGTATGTAAAGGTTTATGGCATGTAGTTATTGTTCATGATAATATAAGTTATCTAGGCCCATTTTCTCTAGTTTAAGTTTTTACCATCTGTCATTAGTCATTACATGTGTATTTTGTAGTGTTCTATATCAGTGTAGAGTATCGAAGCTCTTGAAGGTTGTTTAAAGCTGTCATTACATTCTGTTCCATAAATTTGATTGTTTGTTTGGAATTAAGCACAAAGCTACACGATGGGCTGTCTGTGCTCTGCCCACCACGGGTATCGAAACCCGTGGTGGGCAGAGCACAGACAGCC